TGTAAAAAAAAAGTATTCTTACTGCTGATGCATGCTGATGTATTGATGGAAAAGACTGATGATGGACTATTGATGTTTCGTGGCGAAAAACTGCCTTAGTGCTGCAGCAAATTTTTGTGGGGAATTCCTACTACCAAGCAAATTTTCAAAGGGTCAGAATTCTCCTGTTCACCTGCTTGTTGCGCGGATGCATCGTGTTTTTTGGCTTTCTCGTCGGCGTCTGAGTCGCGACTGCTGACCTACGAACACCAATGTGAAAACAAGGTTTTCAAAAGACGCTGGAATAACTCGAAATCGAATGCAATGAAAGGCGAGCATCCAAACAAACAACTATGTGAAGGTGTCGGAGCAATTATTAATAGGTTGGAGATGCTGTATTCATCCCCGGTTCATAAAGTTGTCCAGTTTCCAACTACTGTACAGTACAGTACAACACACTCACGGTACGATATGTCAACTGCACCTCGGAGAGCGTTCCGTGAGGAGAGGGATCGATGTCATCGTCCGACAGTGCTGGAGTCGGATCCCTGGAAAGATCCTGAAGGTGCGGGAACCGTGGAGGATCCGTGGTCATCGACACATGGACCTACAGGAGGATCTTCAGCGCGCCACTGTTTCCGTCAATGCATAATTCCCGCCACCTCCGTGTCCCGCGGTCGACGTCAGCATCGCATCTGAAAATTCCACCAGCTTGATTCCACTCAGCAGCTTGCTGTGCTCATTTATTTATTTTCATTTTTCGTGTGCCTTGAATGAGTCAGGGGAATGAGTGGGAGCTTTTGCTGCAGAAATAGACGCGAACTTGGGATGCTGCGTTGATACTGAATAATTTTTACGTTCAAATCACGAAACACTGTATAATAGAGTACTGTAATGTACAGCAGTAGTCTTGAAAAGGTTGAAATGCACATGACACCGATTCACGCTCGCAAGAATCTTATAGGATTATGCTACGCACTTTGATGCTCATGTTCAACCTGTTATCCTGGAAAAGCAGGAAGTGCTTTTCTCTGGTTATTCTCACTCTGA